GCTTGCAGATCAATTTAAATTTTCAGAGCCTCGGTGCCTGACTCACTCCAGAGTGCCAGAGCTCCTTAGAATAACCACGGAGTGGATTTCCTGTCACATCACTGAGCTCTGCTCCCCTTCCAGCAGCCCTGGCTGCCACCTCCTCCTGTGCTGGGGCCGTTCACAGCCGTGCAGGTGGGCACAGGTGTGTCTGGAGGGCGCTGCCATGACAAGCTGCCACCCCCCTTTCACACCAGCACTGGGGTTTTGTGGGTGCTGGTGCTTCCAGGCAGCTCATCTGGAGGAGAGCAGGGACTTCAGGGTGGCCTGGAGTTGTGTCAGGGCACGGTCAGGTTGGATCTCAGGGAAAGGTTCTTCCCCCAGAGGGCAGTGGGCACGGCCCCAAGGCTGCCAGAGCTCCAGGAGAGTTTGGATGATCCTCTGGGACGCAGAGTGTGATTCTTGGGGTGTCCTATGCAGGGCTGAGGGTCGGACTGGATGATCCTTGTGGGTCCCTTCCAGCTCGGCGTGTTCTGTGAGAAGACGGGAAAACCAAGTCACTGTGTTAGAGCAGGACGGGGCTCAGGTCACGCAGCCCGGCAGGGGTGGAATCAAACCAAGTTAATAAACTCCCTGGTTAATGGCCCAGATGCAAATCCTGATTGCAGGCTCCGTGCAGGACCTCAGCTGACTCCCAGTTCCCCCCCCAGCTGGCTGCACTCCAGGACTGGGACCAGCCCTCCAGCAGTTCCACCTCTCAGGGAGAATGAAGAGCCCTGGCAGTGAAGGTGGCAGCAGCCCAGCTCTGCTGACCCAGGAGGCTCTGCTTCATTAGCCCCAAAACACTGCTGACCGTGAGCACTTCCATTCTGGCGCTGCAGGTTCTGCTTCTCCATAAAAGCAAAAAAGCAATTTACGAGGGAACAGTCAATAAATGCGCTGCTTTATCGCAGCTGGTTGGGAGCGGTTGGCAACTGCAGCCTGAGGAATGGGGGGGGAGTAACTGTTTCAGGACAGCTGCTGTGTCTCCTGCCTGGTCCATCCTGCCATGGACAGGCTGGGAGAGGGATCCTGGCATGTGCAAACGTGGTCACTGAGCTGGAAACCAGCCAGGAAGTGGATGTGATCGCTGCTCTCCCCCAGCCTGTTGCAGCTGGTGGGGCTCAGACTGTCTCCTGCTTTGCCTTTCAGCAGTTCCAGCCCACCAAGAACCTGCTCTCACCTGCAGATTAAGAGCGGGAGGAGCTGCTGAGACTGGGGCTGCACCAAAACATCCCTGTTGGTACCCAGGTGGTGGCACGGGCAGGAAAAAGGAGAGGAGCACAGGTTGGATGAAACGTTCTCACTTTTATTCAGCCTCTGAACAGTCACAAACCCTCAGCCCCTCTGCTCCCCAGCACTGCTGCCCCTCCTGCCCCTCAGATGTCCCTCCCCAGCCAAGGGCAATGTCACATCAAGGCTTCCCCTCCAGGTGAGGTGACACCCCGGCCCTCAGGTCCAAGCCTGGCTGCCCTGCAGGCTGAGGCACTGACCAAAGTCTCTCCTCCCCAGGTCTTTAGGGAACCTCTGCTTCCCTTTGCAAGGTCAGTGGAGAGGGAAATCCCCAGGTTTGAGCTGCCGAGGCTGGACAAGGTGCCTCCTGAGGATCCTCTGCAACAAGTTCTTCCTGCCTGTCACAGCGGGGAGCTCCAGGCTGGAGCTGCTCCTCCGATAACCCACCCCCAGGAGCCTCTTCTCTCTCTTCTCTGCCTCTTCACTCTCCAGAACGTCTGTTCTTTGGGTGTCCCTGCCGGGGCTGGCACATCTCCTGGGCAAGGGGAGCCCCGCCGGGGTCCCGTAGGCTGGGCTGGCTCTGCCACCCTTGGGACCGGTGGCACGAGGACTCGGCTGCTTGTGGTCCCTCGGGCCTCCATCCCTCTGGGAATCTCCCCCAGCCACAGCCATCCCGGAGTGTCCGCAGCATCCCGGCTCCTCCTCAGCAGCGGGACCTCGAGGGCAGCCCGAGTGAAAAAACGCCTCCTCTCTGGTGACCTGCGGGCTCTGCCCCAGCGTGACAAAGCCGTAGGGGGTGGTGACCTTGGGGAGGTGGGGCAGGGCCAGAGCTGCCCACGCAGTGGGGTCTGGGCTCGGCCGGGCAGGGGGGTTCGGGCAGGAGGAGTTAAAGCCGGGCAGCTCATCCCGCCCCGCCGGCTCCGAGCTGCTCCTCCACGCCGTCCCCTCCAGCCGCCCCATCCCCTTCCCCGAGCCCCTGTGCCTCCCGTGGGCGGCCAGGGAGGGGATGGTGAACTGCGGGATGCGCTCGGGGGTCACCACGTGGAAGAAGATGCCGCTGGAGCTCTTGCCCTGCGGCGTCCTCTCCCAGAGGGACATGGTGGTGGCACCGCGGGGCTCCCCCGCGGGCAGCGCTGGCTATTTATGCCCCGCTGCCAGCCCTGATTGCTCCGCGGGCGGTGACGTGGTGACAACGGCGCTGCCAGGGCCATGCAGCCCTTTGTCACCCGCCCGAGAGACAGATGGGACGAGGGAGGGGACAGGTGAGGACACGCTTGTCCTCAGCATCATCGCCTGCCCTCCTGCTCTGGCGCAGGGCTGAGTGTCACCCGTGAGGCAGGAGAGAGGGAGAGCTGGGTGACGGTGCGAGGGAGGGAGAGAGGGAGGGAGGGGGCGAAGCGAGCGGTGCCCGGCGCAGGATGAGTCACCGCCCGTGGGCATCAGGTGGAGCCGAGCGGAAGGGGCAGCTCGGGAGCGGGAGACAAAACACTCCAGCTCTCTCTAGCAAAACTCCCGTCGGAAATAATAATAATAATAATAAAAAAAAATCTCCCACGCAATTACCCAGAGAAAGCAGCACTTTCAACCGCTTCCCCTCCCCCCGAGTCCCCCCGCCCACCGCTGCTGGTGCCAGGGCTGTGCTGGATTGTTTCTCGCAGCTCTCATCCCACGGGGAGTGGGAATGTGTGTGTGTGGGGGGGACAGTCCCAGGCAGCCCCCAGATGTGAGGCCAGGAGATCAGGGGCTGTGCATCCTCCATGGGGGAGGACAAAGCTGCTCCCCCAGAGGAGCCTCAGCGTTGTCTTCTCTCTGTCTGCAGCAGGGGCAGAGCTGCAGAGTGGGCTGGGATTCGAGTCTGTGATTCCCTGTCACCCTCCCCTTCTACTAGCAGGGGGATAAGGGCTGCTTTAGGTTGGATCCTGCTCTGAAAATGATGCAGAGAGGAAAAGCAGCTCCATCTCTGTGTGGGCACAGACCAGGAAGGGTGCAGAGGGGCCTCTCCCCCCAGCTGGGCTCCAGCTTCTCCCATCCCTGAGGGGCTCAGCAGGGCAGGTTTCTGGCATCTCATCACCTTCAGCTCTTTGCATCGGCACAGGGACACGTCCCAAATCATCTTGGCAAGCTCTGACTCCCAGGAAGGACCCCAAACTGAGGGGAAATGAATCCCTAAATGAGAGCCCTTGAGGCTGCCCAGGCCCAAGCCCAGTGCTGACAGCAAGAGACCCCCACGGGAGGGCAAGGGCTGCCCCCCCAATTAGCAGCTCATCAGTGTAATGAGGAGCAGATGGGCCAGGGGCTATAAGTAGCTTGAGGGTCTCAGCCTGGCCTAAGTCAGGTTTGTGTCCAGTCTGGGCTTGATGGAGCAGCAGCAGCTAAAGCTGGGCTGGAGCCCAGAGCAGGTGAAGGTTCCCCTGGGGCTGTTTCTGCTGGGGCTCTCTCCGAGCTGATGTGGAGGATCTGACCTGTCTCTCTCTCTTTCTTTAGGTGAGGCCACTCACCAGCAGCGATCCCTACTCCTTCTTCAGCAGGTTCCTGGGCCAGATCCTTCAGCTGAGCTTTGTCAAGTACCTGGTAAGTGATGTTCTTGGAGCTGGAGGGGCTGGGGTGGGAAAACCTCCAGACTTGGCAGTTTCTTGGGTTCTTCTGCCAAGGTATTCTCTTCTTTCAGTTTTTCCACATCATTAGATGTTGTTAGGAAGAAATTGTCCCCTGGGAGGGTGGGCAGGCCCTGGCACAGGTTGCCCAGAGCAGCTGTGGCTGCCCCATCCCTGGAAGTGTCCAAGGCCAGGTTGGACAGGGCTTGGAGCAACCTGGGCTAGGGAAAGGTGTCCCTGTCTGTGGTAGAAGAGTTGAAATCAGATGGTCTTTAAGGTCCCTTCCAACCCAAATCATTCCATGATTTTCTTTCTGCCCTGTGCTCAGTGTGAGCTTGTCTTCTGCTTTCCTCCCCATCCTGGAGTTTCCCTCTGTCTGGTTTGGCTTTGCCTTGTTCCAGATACCTAATGCACCTCTCCTTGCAGCTGAAGAAGCTTCAGAAAGCGTGGATGTGGATGGGATTCGTGACCCCTGTGGACAGCATGATCAGCCAGCTCTACCCCAGCCAGTCTCCCCCCAGGCCTGGACGCCTGGCCAGGAAGCGCCGGGGGAGACTCGTGCGCCTTCTCCTCTCCGTGGTGCCCACCAGCATCCAGAACATCCTGGGCTACCTGCCAGCAGACTGGGGCCAGGGCAACCAGCCCAGGGGTGAGAGCTCCTGAAGGCTTTGCAGCCAAGAAACACGGTCATGATGGCAGGGTTTGGGGTTCCTGCAGAGGAAACCCTAAACCCCCATGTGTGTTTGTCCTGGGGGTGGTGACGGTGCCTCCTGTGAATCCCTGCAGAGATCCTGGAGGCTCTGATCAACCCATTGAACAAAGCCAGCAAGAGGAAGAGGGATGATGTGGCCCTGGAGGAGCAGGAGTCCTGGTTTGTGGTGCTGGAGAGGGACTTGCCAGAAGACGACTCCCAGGACCTCACGTACGAGGTGAGACGTTCTGGCTGCTGGGCAGGATTGGTCCCCAGGGGCTGAGCAACTGGGAGGTGATGGTTTGGGCTGTGAGAGCTCCTGCAGAGGAGCCTGTGCAGGGAGCTGGGAAGAGCTTTCCTTCACTGTACCCACTCTGTGTGGCGTGTCCAGTGAAGAGTTGGGCTCTGATCCTGGTGGGTCCCTTCCCACTGAGGACATCACTCCATCAGTGCCTGAAAGGTGTGGGTGCCCTCCTTGTGCCCCAGTGCTGAAGTTCCCTTCTGGTGGGTGTCCCTGCAAAGCTGTGGCTCCCAGTGCCCCTGGGAGCAGGATTGGTGTGTCCTCCCTCACACCTTCCCTGACTCTTGGCCTCTTTTCCCCCTCAGCCCTCGGAGGAGGAGTCAGACAGTGAGGAGTACAAATCCCACAATGACACCGAGCTGGAACTGGAGCTGGAAGAGCAGGATGGGATCCCTGTGCTGCTGGAGGAGTCCTCCTGTCCCCAGGTGCGTGCTCCTCACTCACTACTCTTAGTCCCACCTGTTCCCTGTGGATACCCCCCCTAATTCCCAGGAAACCGGTGCTCTGCCTGGCTCACAGGGAAGTGGAGGGTGAGGGAGGTGCAGGGTGGGTTGATTTGAACTCGGCAGCCCCAATGTCAGTGATGGCAGCCAGTTTTAGGGGAAAAAATTTCCTGTGTTTTTTAGGAAAACCAGGAAGCCTGACCCATGGACCTGGACCTTCTGGGGCTGCAAAATTCCTGACTCCCTGGGGGCAGCTGTGGCCCTGAGTAAAGATGTCCAGTCAGATGCTATGTTGTTTTTTGGTTGTTTTTTTTTTTGAAGTTTATAATAAAATTACCCTATTTTTCCACGTGAATTGGGGTGTGGCTGGCTGTACTGGTCCCTGGTAGCCCTGGACTGGCTGGTGCCTCAAAGGAACCTCCTTCCACATGCAGAACATTGCCAGAAATTCGGTGGCAGCAGGTCTGCCTTGTCTGCTTTAAACCTGGGAGCTCTCCATGGAGCTTCTTCCCTCCACATGCATGCTACAGGAGAGACCCTGCTTCAGCACAAGGGGTTGAAGAAACAGGGATTTGGGGTCTGGAAAGGCAAGTTAGGATCAGAAAGGGCCTGGATGCAACCCTAGAGCGCTGGAGAGACCCTGGGGTGGGTTGGACCTGGGTGGGCTGGGTCATCTGAGCAGGCTGAAAGAAAGAGTGGGAGTTGCAAACCCAAAAACCCCCAGGGAACCTGAGGGCAGGTAGTGACTCAGGTAAGGGGGGAGGATGGAGGTATCCTGGCTCCCAGGCCCTGCTGGGATCAGGGATGCTGATGTCTCCTTAATTAAAGATTTGTTTCTCTCATCTGAAGCGGCTCTGGGGCAGGTCGTGCTCTGGGCAGCTTTTCCTGCTGGATTGCAGTGATGGCTCAAAGGGCTTCTCTGGCCAGCAGTGAAGCACCTAAAGGAAGGAATTCTGATGCTTTAAAAGAAGAGCTGGGTCAGGACACATCTCCTGGAGCTGCAGCCCTTGGACTCCTCCCTGATGCTCCAATTGGTTTTACCCCTCCAGAGCTGGCACTGGCTCCTCACACCTCAGGGGGGTTTGTCTGGGACTGGGCAGGGCTCTTTTTCTCCCAGGTTTGACTAGTTATTTGTGCACCATTAACAGTCATGAAGCTGCTCCCCCTCCTTGCCATGGCAGTGTCTCTTTAAAGGCAGGTGTGTCTCTTACCTGGCATCATCTGCAGCCACAACAGCTCTGGTTTCATTACTGCTCAATGATAGCAAGATATTTTTATCTTTAAGATTGATAAAGGAGCTGATACTGCAGCTCCTGGATATTAAATTGGGCCCTGCATTAATTCAGTCGCTCCCTGTTTGTGTTCAATAATTCTCCCATTCTCTGCAGCCAGCGCTCTCAAAGCAGAAATTAATAAAACACCCTTTTTAGTGGCATCCTTGAAATCTGTGCTGGCTTTTCCTCTTGCTCCTGAGCTTTGGGAGCACTGAAGGTGGAGGTGAACAGCAGGCTTTGTTCCTTGCCTGGGTGTCAGGCTGCAGAGTGACTCTGCTTAAATATTGCGAGGAGCAAACCAGCATTAAATCTGCCTCTCTGAGCTCACCTGCACATTAATTCTGTGCACACCTGCCTGCCACGGGGCAGCTTTTGCCCAAAGCTTCCCAGATGTCAAGCCCTGCTTTAGGAGGAAGAGACCTCCCCCAGGTGAGCATGAAGGGGAGTAAATGGCTTGGTGGAGTCAGGAGTAGCTGAAGAGCTGCTTGATCCCGAGGTCAGCACCGTGGATGCAGCCCAGGTAAGCAGGTGGTGCACGTTTGTGGTGGCAGCGAAGAGGAGGGTGGTTTGGCAGCAGGATGAGGCCTGTGCATCCCAGAGAGGGCAGGTCTGGGGCTAAAAGGCTGTTTGCTGGGGTGGGATCTGTGTGGCACAAAGCTCTGGGGGGACCTGGCCCCTCTTTGTGTCTGGGCAGGGGAAGGTGGAGAGTCTGTCCTGCTGAGCATCTCTTCAGGGCAGTGTTCCTGTTTTTCCCTGTCCTGCTCTGTGGCTTTTTTGCCTGTTTTTCCCTCTGGT